TCAAGCGAGTCTCGTGCCTCCGCCTCCCCAGTAACTGAGATTATAGACATGCGCCACCACACCCAGCTAATTTTTGTATTTTCAGTAGAGACAGGGTTTCCCAATGTTGGTCAGGCTGATCTCAAACTCCTGTCCTCAAGTGATCCGCCCGCCTCGGCCTCTTAAAGTGCTGGGATTACAGACGTGAGCCACCGCGCCCAGCTGACAGTGAACATTTATTGGGCACGTTCCATGTGCCAGGCACTGTTGATGCTGCATGTCCAGCAGTGAGTACAACGGATGGAAAGCCTTGTCTTCACTGAACTGAAAGGAAACGAGGAAAACCCCCTCTCTTGGGTGTGAGCCTGCTTCCTTGTTTCTGCATCACAGGGACAACCTCAGCTGCTCCCCAGGGTGTGCTGAGCACTTGCCTGCTCATGCAGGCCTTGCCGGGCCCGTGAAGGATGAAGGCAGCCTCTTCCCTGCAAGGTTCTTTCCTATGCAAACCCAAAAGTATCTGAGACAGAGCTCAATCAACTTAGAAAGTTTATTTTGCCAAAGTTAAGGACACAGCCTTAACCTACAGCCTTAACACACAGCCTCAGGAGGTCCTGAGGACATGTACCCAAGGTGGTCGGGGTACAGGTTTTTATTTTTGTTTGTTTGTTTTTTGAGGCAGGGTCTCACTCTGTCACCCAGGCTGAAGTGCAGTGGTGCGATCTCAACTCACTGCAGCCTCTGCCTCCTGGGTTCTCCTGCCTCAGCCTCCCAAGTAGCTGGAATTACAGGTGTGCACCACCATGCCCAGCTAATTTTTGTATATTTAGTACAGACGGGATTTTGCCATATTGGCCGGGCTTGTCTTGAGCTCCTGACCTCAAGTGATCTGCCCAACTTGGCCTCCCAAAGTGCTGGGATTACAGGCGTGAACCACCATGCCTGGCCACCGCTTGGTTTTATACATTTTAGGGAGACATGAGAAATCAATCTATGTGTGAGACTGATCAGCCTTTCACTGAATACACAATTTCCATGTGAGAAGGGGGTAGAGGAATAGTCACTTATGCCTTAGTCTGGCTCAGTGAATCTACATTTTTACGTAAACAGTAGGGCAAAGGAAGCAATTAGATACGCATTTGTCTCAGGTGAGCCTCAGAGGGATGACTTTGGGTTCTGTCTATCCTTTGCCAGGCACCCATGAAAATAAGTTGTCAATTTACATTGCCAGGGTGAAATTCAATAGAACTGTTTTAGGGTAAAGATGTTGAAGCCCACAAGGGAATTTATCTTTTAGCAATCTTATTTGGGAATAAAATGGGAGGCAGGCTTGCGCAGTTCCCAGCTTGACTTTTCCCTTTGGCTTAGTGATTTTGGGGTCTATTTTTGTGATTTATTTTCCTTTCACACCTGCGAGGGAGACTTTCTGATGCTCCTGTCTCTGCCCTGCACTCCCCTCTCATCTGCCAACTTCGTGCTTTGGCTGCCCTGCCGTCCGTCCCCCACCTGCAGCCCTACTGATCTTCCTGAAAGGCAAGTTTCACAAATCACTCACTGCTCAGTACCTTCTGTGATTTCCTGAGGCTCCGGGAGAAATCCAACTTCCTTCACACGACAGGAGGGTCCCCACGAGCCGGCCTCTGCTTTCCCTCCCAGCCCCGGCTCCCGCCACCTCCTGCCTCATGTCAGGCTCTGCAGCACGGACAGCTGGTCCCCGCTAATACCTCCCTACCTTGCTTCTGCTGGCCCCTGGGTCTAGAGGACCTTCTCCTTCCCCAGCCTGCTTCTAGTCTGACCCCTACTCTCCTTTTAGACTCAGCCCCTTCTCCTCCTCCACCCTGAGTCCACGGGCCCGGGAGTGCTAAGCACATGGTGTTATAGTTAACTATTTACTTTTCCATCTTTTCCTGGAAGACAGACATGATGGTAATTATGCGTTTAATGTCTGTCTCCTGGGATGGTAAACCCCTGCGAGCGTGGGCTGTGACTGTCTTATTCACCACTGTTTCTGGCATGGGGCACGGAGTAATAAACATGGCTAACGCTTCCCCAGCGCTAACTGTGAACCGGCCAGAAGTATCCTGAGAGCCTTACATGCATTTACAACTTTAACCCTTACCACCACTCAGTGAGGTACTGTGATATTATGAGATATGTATTTGGTCTTCCTCTGGTTTCCTGGCATACAACTTCTAAAATCCTTGGAATCTCCAAAGAGATAAACGTGTTTTTATAGGCTAGAGAGTTGACCGATGGCCAGGCATGGTGGCTTTGGCCTTGCACAGCGGCTCACTCCTGTAATCCCAGCACTTTGACAGGCCAAGGCTGACGGATCATTTGAAGTCAGGAGTTTAAGACCAGCCCCGTCTCTACAAAAAAAAAAAAAAGGGCCGGGCGCGGTGGCTCAAGCCTGTAATCC